CGTGAGCTTCCTGCTTTCCATGATAGGCCAGTGCGGATGCTAGATGTCAAACGGCCAGTGCTGAGGTTGCTTACCTAGTTTCCATTTGAGGGCGAAAACCATTGTCAGACAAGAAGGGGTGGTTCAATGAAGCACTGCATGGGTCGAGGTATTGTCCGTGGTCTTGAAGTCATGGGGGGCGCTGACCAAAGAAGTTCGAACCACTCCTACTGAAGTGAAGGCTGGGAGCCAAATGCACGGCCTTTTTTGCATTATATGTATACTGTATATATTATTTTGCATTATTACATACCTACGGAGAGAGAGGGAGGGAGAGACCCACACGATTTTGTGCATATGCACCTTTTTGTGCCTTCTTGACGCTGTTTGCTTCGCGCACACATGTTAGGCCATGCTTCAGCAGCCGGATTTGTTAGCAATCCTGCAAGCTTCAGCCTTAATACCTTCACACAAGCATTCTTATCATTGCCAATTTGGTTCATTGTGGTGATCAAAGCTTGTATTTTGGTGCATGTAAGTGAGTATGGATATAGGCTATGGACGTGCATGCCCGAATGCGCAGATGCGACCTCCGAAATGGTGCAAGATGCCCCGGAGACAAATGGGAGAGACCGCCAACCATGCACACTGTAATAATAAGTTCCTGTGTTTTTTTCAAACCTTTTTCTCTTTGCTGCTTTGGTATCTCAGATGTGATGCCACTGGAAGTTGCTGTTGCTGTGACCTCAAAGCTCAAACAAAAGAAACACTGGCTTGGATCTACACAAGATATCATGTCTTTGCACCTCTTCAAGTAGCACACCTCAGTCCCACTTTCAACAGCAGCCGGTAGCGGAACCAATGGGCTCCACGGTGATCAAATCGGAACATTTGGTTGGCAGTTGAAGGAAAGTGATTTCACTGTGGAGATTTGGCCAAAAAATGCAACAGATGCTACTAAATAGTTCAAGGGCCTCAAGAGGATGCTCTTCTTGGAGTCTGCCCAAGTCCGTCCTGGCTGTCCATCAGAAAATGCATAAAATAATGCACTGACATGTGCGGAAGCTTATACTCTCATGTCGTGTGCTCAATAAACCAAACCTGACATTGCCATAGTGAGTAAGTGTTTGCTTTTGTTGCGGCTGACCTGGCATGTTCAAGTCCCTGGGGTCAACCCATGATTTTAAAGAGGCACGTTGGATGGACAAGGGAGCAACAAACAAGGAGTCTTGCAGACCGAAACTGTTCAGCCGCAACTTGCCTCCCCGCCATAGAATGAGGTGTTCTTCACAGGCGTGCGGTTGGTTGGAACAAACCCAGGCGTGACCTCTCAAACCAGCGAGGGCCTCGCCTGTGCAGCAGACGCCTCTCATACAGTTTTGTGTAGCTTGTAGCTGACTCCTAGCATAGACGTTATTTTGGTGCCATGTGGTTTCACATTTAAACAACGTCCGCGCGTGTAGAGAGAGTTTTGGGAACTCAGAGAGGGAGATGGAGAGGGAACGGTACATTGAAAATAAACACATATTATTACTGTAATATGTTAATTAAGATTCTATAATTGAGCACAACACACTTTGTAACGTTGCTGTTTGCCCTGGTCGTGGTCGTCTAATCGCAATTAAGTGTATTGGCTGGAATGGTTGGTTTGCGCGTTTTCTTTTTGACCTCTCCACGTACCTTTTCTTTGATTGCTTGGGTTTTTCTCTTAGTTGTGCTTGGGCCGGATTCTCGTGTTTGTCCATTGACATGTTGACGTGGTGCTAGGCGCGTGACATGATAAAAGTCGGCATATCATGGGATCGAATTTCCATGAATTTCCAACATAACTTGTGTTGGCTTGCGCTGCTGTAGGCGTCCAGAACACTGAACACCAACCCATTTTCCTGTCCACGTAATTAGTCTTTTATGGGCCGCATTGGGGTGTCATTTCTTGCAGACCTGCTGACCCTCATGACAACATCTAGTTTTTGTATTGCATCTGGCGTGGTTGTGCACCCAGCGCTAAGAGATGCTAAGAGCAAAAGACATGAATCATGCCATGGGCAAGGGGAACTTGAAAGGGAATGTAACGGCATAATCTAGCAGATCAGGTATAGACACACCAATGCCTCAATGCCAATTCAATATCGTTGATTTGGCCGAAATGCATCAAGGCTTGGAAGATGTTGTGCACTGGACCCTTTTCGAGCCCCAAAGCATCCTATGTTGGACGCCAAGGGGGCCAAGGGTGAGCAGAGCAGAACATGCAATTGAGTTTTGCTTACTATTCATGCATTGCTAACGTTGTTTACCCCAAGACTGTGACTACATGTGCCTTTGCAAGCTGTGCTTGCTGCAGGCCTTGCTTGCATTTCACAAGTCCATTGTGGATTATAGTCTATTGAGGCTTCTTTGGCGCCAGGCTCAGCATGTTTGTTGGCAACGGTCACCAATTTGCAATTTGGACACCGGCTTTGTGCCCCATGCAAAGCCATTATGCAATCTCTACAAACTACAAACTAAGGTGCGGGTGGGCTACCTACGTAGAAGCAAAAGCTCGATTGACAACAGGAAGCTCAAAGGTGGCTGAGAGTTCTACTTGGGCATAGTTTGTAAAAGATCCATTGAGCAAAGTGCAAAAGGTCAGCGCTCTCGATCTTTGAGCCAAAATGCCAACTGGAAACTGTCAGAGTCATTGTTCTTCCTTAAGGGTGCCTAGCCTTATGACTAAATTTGACTGTAAATATTTGAGATTCTGCATCCGCTCTCACCAACGATATCAATCCCCAAAACGGCCTATGTGAAAGCTTCCACGCACGGGCGGGCCCCCCAGTTTTGCAGTCGCCTAGTTGGCCAGATCATGCCAGATCCACTTTGCGATACTTCGGTCTCAAGTTCATGAGTTGCCAAATCCAAAGATGTTTCGCCTTCTTACTTAGATCTCAGCATGTGAGAAGCCAGAGGCCACCTCCTTGCTGAAGAAGCTCAGAAATTGGTGCACGCTTTCGCACTTGACTCAGGTGAAGCAGATTGAGTCAGTTCAGCTTCAGTGTGGTTTGGTCAATGAATTGCTCCGGTTTTGGTTGATCGGGCACCCTTGCGGCACCTGTGGCGATATTGATCAAAGAGATTGTAACATCGGATGATTGGGGTGAGGAAACTCGAGCAGAAGCATCACATTCTCAGATTCTAGCATTCTCAAAGACTTGTTTGATACTTCGGATTCATTTCATGCCAGTGAGGCATGTTTTCTCCGATTGGCAAGCTGCCACAGCAAAGGTGCGGTGCATTTGCTTGGTAACCTATACTTTATGAGCACATGTCACATATCACTTGTTGCCCGAGTCAAGCCAGAAGGACATCTCAGTCTGCAATTAGTTGACTATCCATCCATTCGATCTATGAGGCAACTAGGGACTAGCCAATAAGCCGTGGATATACTGAGACGAAGTGAACGCTCAAATTACCTGACAATTGGAATCGCATTCTGGTGAATTTTCATCTTGAGGGTGCTATGTCTACATTGTAAAGTTTTCCAAAGTTTCTGCATTTGAGCTATTCGTAGCTTGACACAGGTGTGGTTGCCCTGGGAGTGTGATGTCCCCGCAACATATCTCACCATCTTGAGGTGAAGGCTGCAGTTTGTGAAGAAGGGCTCCGCTGCGGCAGGTGTGTTGAGATTCGCACCAAAAGTGGATCGAAAAGGAAAGAGGAAAAAGGGCGCCAATTTCCCTAAAGAAACCCAATCCCTGACCTGCCCCCTACCTCTGCTACCTTTTCACCTCCTAGCGCCTCGTTCCCCTGTCCAAAAATAGATTAAACAAAAGAACCAGGAAAGGCAATTCAAACCAGCAACAAGAGAGGATGTCTGAGTGTTTCACCTCTTTGACCCTTGAACGCTGGAGGTTCGCAGCAGGGCACTGGATCCGAGAGCTGGAGAAAGCTGATCTCAGTCTAGTCCTGCTTGCGTGGCGCCACCTGGTTGAAAGAATTCAGAGGCATCACTGAGGATCGGATGCTGTCAAGTCCTGTGGCCAATCTCAGGCTTTTGCCATAGCGAACAAGTGCTGTACGCCCAAAACTCAACTGAGACCCAGGTTGCATCAGAGCAACATAACACTTTCCTTGGTTTTTTTGCGGGGAAGTTCATCTCGTCAGGCGAAGCTACAGAGGCTGGACCCTCAGCGCAGCTAATATAATAGCATCGGAACAGGTCAAAGCGCCTGTATGAAGTTGCAGATGCTGAAAGTTTTGGGGCCTTTCATGATCTACAAGGGTTGGTGTAGGACTTGATGTTCATGGAGTCAGATTGATGACCGGGCTTTTGCAGGTCCGGCAGGCCCAATCAAAATATTATAAGATATGTAATTTATGGAAAAGTACACACTCAAAGAGATGGACATGGGATAATGCAAATATATGACAGACGATGACACAATCCCCAAATCCTGATGCAGGCTATTCGCAAGCAAAGAGCGACAAGTAACAGACCACTCCAGACTCAAAGCAGACGTCGGCTCAGATGCATAGGGTTGCACCAAGTTTTGTCTATTGACGTGTTGTATCTTTTTTCCGAGGAGCGATCTCTTCGTGCTGCATCTGCGGCGGTTCTTCGGAGTCTTAATCTCGGAAAACTAGTAGACGAAGGAACAACGACCGCTGCTTTTTATATAGTCGACTATGTTTGACCAGAAGAGTTCCATTTGGTTTCAAGTTGCTCACAAGGCCGGAGGAACACAAACTATTTACTGTACTTCATGGCCTGGCGTGACGCTGTGGATAAACATGAAGAGGCTTTGCAAAATTCCGAGGCCAGTCCAAGCAGCACCTGAAATATGAATTATCGGAAAGGGGTAGTAGAAATGCTACAGCAAGCTTGCGGACTGGATGGCGTTTGCCACAGTCTTTGCACTTGGCTCGGGTATATTCTTTAAGTTGTTTTCTTCATTCAGCAGGCGCAGCACGCAGCTGCATATCGACAAGGTGCTTGCAAGGCCAACTGCGAAGGAAGCCCAGGTCACCAGATGATTGAACACTGCAGATATCAGGCGGCAACACTTCTCCAAGACGAGTACGGGCCTCATTTGTTTGGTTGAAAGGCAGACGACACCATTGCTGCACTCGAATGGCTATTTGTGATGGGTGCTGTGTGTCAGATATATATATATATATATCCCCGAGAAGTTGTGCGCAGACCAGTGCGAACATCCAGTTGTGAGGAGAGCGGTTTGGGACTTTGTATTCAACTACATCATAACATAACAGTTTGCCATGTCCATGGCCTAGAGTGTTTCCACTGTGTTCGTGCTCCCAATCTATTGTGTTCTGCATTGCTAGAAAATACTTTGACCACATAGACGAGTGCAATGGATACACATGGCTGACGGGGGCCTCAGTGCTCAGTATTTGAGCAGCAACCCTGATGTGGTGGCCAAAGAGGCTCCTGGAGATTCCATCAGCAGCCTTGCATGGTCACCGGTACAAGATGTCATTGCAGCAGGCTCTTGGGACAAGTCTATTTACATTTGGGAGGTGAATGGCCAGGATATGCTTGCGCGGACGAGCTATGTGCTGCAGGCACCGGTCCTTTCCTGCAGCTTCAGCAGTGATGGACTGCATCTCATTAGTGGTGGCTGTGATCACAAGGTTACAATGCGTGACCTGCAAGCACAACAGACGATTGAATTGGGTCACCATGAAGAACCGGTCAGGTTTGTTTCTGCACTTGAAGAGCTCAAACTAGTGGTGTCCGGCAGTTGGGACAAGACCTTGTGCTTCTGGAGCCCTCAACAGTCCAAGCCGGTCTTGAGCGTTCCACTGCCAGAGCGGGTCTTTGCTATGGATGTGAAGTATCCGTTGATGGTTGTAGGATGTGCTGATCGGCAGGTGCTTACCTACGACTTGGCGCAGGGTTTGAAGACACAGTTGAACTCAACAAACTCAATGTTTAGTGGTCTCAAGATGCAGACTAGATCTGTCTCTTGCTTCCCTGATAGAACAGGTTTCGTGCTTGGTGGCATTGAGGGGAGATGCTCCGTGAAGGGCTTGGATGATCAGTCCAAGACTTTTACCTTCAAGTGCCATCAGACACAGGGCTCCATCAGTGCAGTAAACGCATTAGACTTTCATCCAGCCAAGCCATCCACGCTGGCTTCTGTAGGGGGTGACGGTAGTTTCATCTTCTGGGAAACTACACAGAGAAAGCTCCTGAGGAAGTTCGATGCCAGCAGTATGTCGCTCACCGCAGGGAAGTTCAATTCCACAGGAAGCCTTTTTGCGTATGCTGTGTCTTACGATTGGAGCAAGGGACATGAGGCCTACCATGAGAACTTGCCACGGCAAGTTGTTGTTCATTCCTGCAAGGAGGATGAGGTGGCTTGCAAGACGTCGGAATCATAAAACAAGGAGACAAGCAATGCCTTGGCGCGGAGAAAATGAGAGAGCGAGAGAGGGAAAAAGAAAGGAGAGCACGCGAGTATGAGAGAGGGAGAGAGGGAGAGATAGAGGCTTATTCATGGGGATTTGCTTTTCCTACAGGGCTAGACTACCTGCAAGAATCTGGGAGCGCATTGGATTTGAAGAGTTTGAATGTGTTTGAATGTTGTGTCATTTTCTGCCGTGGGACCTGCTACGCTATTAGGCCATGTGCGCCATTGACATTTCGGCGAGGTGTGGATGCATTGGCATTGGCGAGGGGTGTTGGCAAAAGAACATACAAGAACCCCCTCTCCTTCAAACCAGCAGGCCCAAGAGACTCAAACAAACGAAGCCATGGTAAACCGTTGTGGCTTGCAGTTCAAACAAGGTAGCAAACCGTGGGTTTGTAGCTTCAGTTCACAGGAGCTTTGCTGCAGCTTTGCTGGGGCGCCTGGCGCAACAGCAGTGCAGGTCCAATGGCACTATGATTTGCAATAGAACATTATATACAGTATGACATTTTATACATCAAAAGAAACACTTGGAGTGACGCCCTTCGCAAGGCAAACTACTTTGGACTTTGAGATCTGTGTTCAGGGCCCACGAAGCACAATCCATAGCACATCGCTCAGGATTCAGAGTGTACTTTGACCCATCACTAGTGGACAAGTTGAGCAGTTGGCCCAAGCTTGCTGCAGGTACGGACAACGTTTTCAGCTTGGAAGCACGAGTGCAGGCGCCATTGAAGTAGCATAAAAGCGTGTTGAGCCATGGACCGGCACATCCAACTGGCCTTCATTAAACGCCGGTGCCAGCCAGGACATGCCAAAGTCTGCTGAGGGATGAACAGTCAAAGGCGAAGAAATGGTTTGTCGAAACGATGTATGAAATCACGAAAGCTAGCACCAGCTAGCTGGAGTTGTTCTTGCTTTAGCAAGTGAGGGGCTGGAATCCTCGAGAGCGCCGCATCGCGTGAAAACTTCATATGTAGGGGGGCCGCACCCCCCCACCCCGCGGGTTCAACTCCTCCTTGGGACGTCTCTGGGACGTGTGTATTTCCGTTGGCAGGGGGCTGACTGTTCCTGTGGCGGCAGGATTTGGACCCTCACCCCTGCCCTGCTGGCTTTCGTCACCAACCCTCGGCCTCAACTCTACTACTTGTACGTCCACTGTTTGAAGAACTCGAGAAATGTACAAGAGCACTACGCACATGAAGGTCCTCAAACTCAAATGTTATAGTTCCAGACCTCCAAAGTCTCTCAAATACCGTATCACGAAAAGCTACGAAAAGCGACTATATATATAAGCTTAAGGACTCAAGGATTGTTCGACCTTTAAACATACCTTCGGATTCCATCTAAACCTCTTGACTCGTTGCAGACACACACCATGCAGAACCTAAGTGGAGAATTGCATGAGCCAAGCAAGTTGTCTATAGGTGTATTGTACATTATTCTTGTGTTCTTATTTTTACTACTCCGGGATGCTTGTGAATGCACATGCATAAAGAAAGCAGCAGACTTGGCTTTGTCCGAGGAAACTATATACAGTTACCTTATACAGACTTCTGAACAATCAGAAGTGTGTCACGGCAAAAAATGAAGTGCTTCCGCCCCATCAGCTTTCGGGTATTGGCTGGAATCAGCAGCGAAACTGGCAGGTCAAGTTCGTGCGGCTGTGTTTGGCAGCTGCTTTCTTTGTTCGACGCCAAGAATTTAGAAGCGTCAAGATGATCCACAGTTGTGTGCATTGATGTCGTTTCCGCTACCTTTTCCAACGACCAAGGGCTGGCAACTAGTGTCCTCCGCTTCAAGCTTCTTGCGCAAAGTCGTACAGGTCTCACAGAGAATCAATCTTGTTGTTGTTACAAAGCGTGACAACACTGGGAAATGTTTGAGAAATATTTGCAAAGCACGGTTGGATCCCATGAAAGGCTGTGTGAACTTCCCACTTTCCATGATAGGCCACTGCTGACGCTAGATGTCAAGCGGCCAGTGTAGAGGCTGCTGGCTCAGTGACAGTTTCAACAAGAAGGCAAAGACAGGTTGTGAGGACCTTTGGTATTCATGGTGCTTCTCAGACGAGAACGGGGTTTGAATCAATTATCACCTCAGGTGTTGTCCGTGGTGGTGAAGGAATGGGGGGTGCTGACCAAAGAAGTTCGTGCCACTCCAACTCAAATAAAGAAGGCTGGGTTTGAGGTGGATATATGTTCATGATTCATGCAATTTTAAGCTTTGTGTTGGTTAATATAGACTGCCTGTACATGCCTGGACCATTTTGAGCGTATACTATCTTGACCGTAGTTAGCAGAGCATTGCGTATGCGGGCGTGTTCACATGTTTTTTCGTCAAAGTTGTTTTCAACAAAGTGTCAGGCAATGCTTCAGCAGCCGGACCTGTTTGCAATTCTGGAAGCCTCAGCCTCAGCTTTTGCTGAAAGCCTCACTATTTTCTGACGACCTGGGGTGGTTTCTTTCAAATGTTTTTCTGCGATTCGTGTTGGTGTCTCTCATCTCTGGTAAAATTCGTGGTTCTGTGATCATTTGCGATGATGTGGAGCGCTTCTTCAAGGAAGCTTCCCCCGCCGCCTTGTAGGGTGGCGGGGGGAGCTTCCTTGAAGAAGCACGAGCTATCCTGCGTCCTGTTGGTAGTAGTGGTAGCTGCCTCTCCCTTACTTAGCTATCGTTTGCTACTACTATATAGCTACTTCCTACCTCCACTCGCGGCCTAGCTCCCCTTTAGAAAAGGTCATTTTTGTTTGTGTCAAACACCTTGGGTGGCTTCTGCCTTCCGCCGCTTCTTTGACCTTGCCACGGCTCTTACTGTCTCCGTTCTGTGCCGTAGATCTTGCCAAGCTACTACTAGCTAGAAGCTACTAGGTCATCACAAGTAGGTTGGAGGCCATCGCTACTAATTAGAAACAAGAAGCTATCCATGGCACCCTTCTGGCGATAACTTTGTTGTTTCAGTCGGTGTTGACCTGCCTTCAGCGGGCACCTTGTACTTGCAAAGTCCAACATTCGAGGGCATTCCATTGGACAGGGCAAAGGGCAGAAGGTTAAGTTTCCCTAAAAATCTAAGAACCCAATCATTAGGAGCAAGGGCGCTACTAAGAACCCAATCATTAGTGCGCGCGCTTCTTCAAGGAAGCTCCCCCCGCCCTCGGGGAGCTTCCTTGAAGAAGCTTGAGCAATCCTACGTCCTAGCTAGGAGCAGCTAGTCGCCCATACTTAACTATGGGCGGGCTCAAAAATCGCAGTATGTGCTGGTAGTCCGCAGAAGTTCTGCTTGATCGCCGAGGCTTGGAAGATGTTATGCGCTGGGTCTTTTGCAAGTTGCAGCGCATCTTGTGCTGGGCACCAAGCCTCCGAAAGCATTCATGGGCGGTGAAGAGAACGTGGCACAACAAACAAATGAGACATCAGTTTGTTGCAGCACTGAGCAGTATCCGCCGCTTTTTCCATTTGCAGTTGGCATTCAGTGCATTGCCATTGGCCAAGAGCATGACAAAAGCGTAGCTAGTACAAGCCACGCGCTTTGCAGGCGTTGCTTGCCTTTCACAAATCCGTTGTCGATTATAGCTTCTTGCGGCTTGTTTGGAGCCAACCTCAGCATTGCCGTTTCACATTTTGGACTTTGGCTCCAAACACTACTAATCACTACCACATCTTCGCTACAAACTAAGGTGTGGATGGGCCACCTACGTTGAAGCAAGAGTACATTTGATGACCAGATGTTCAAAGGCAGCTGAATCAGCCTGGTTGGGTGGGAATAGTTTCCGGAAAGCAGGGCATCAGCTGCTCAGCGGCTACAAGTGTCTTCTTGTGTAGGGTTCCCGGAATGTAGAAACAGGCTACATCCTTGCTGGAAAAGTTCAGGAGGTGGACCACACTGGCGTCGGCAACTCAGGCTTTTGAACTGGTGCATTTACTGTAATGGTGCGGAGCAATATACTGTAATATGCATCACTGCAGTTTGGTTGTTTGATCGCTCCACCTATGGACGCCCACGGCTGGTTTACGGGTCTATATGAGTTAGTATGTTTGCATGTCAAGTGATTTGTGTTATCCACCATGCGGTCGTGTGCACATTGGTTCTACTGACTACTGAAAGCTAGTTGATCGCCCGAACTAGATTCATGCCAGTGAGGCAAGCTTTCTCCAATTGGCAAGCTGTCACTGCCCAAGCATGCATGCAGCATGTGCTTGCAAATCTGCGGGACATGTTCAACCCAGCACAGAAAAGGCAGAGCACCTCAGCAGGTGAGCATCCAAGAAATCACCCTTCCAGGAAGAGGATGCTTTGAACTGCCACATGCCCCCCCCACGGAAGTGCAATGTTGCAATACTTGTGAAACGAGTGTTTAGCTTGTCTGAGAGTAGCTTGCTTTGCGGCCGTGAAGCGGTCTCACCATCTTCAGGTGAAAGCTGCTGGAGTGCTTCGCTCCGGCAGGCACGGCGGGTCGCGAATAGCGATGGACACCAATAAATATATGTATATATAATATGTTTTTGCGATTGCCTCCAACCTACGGTAGGTTTTTGTGCTTTGCTTTTGGTGAGAAGCTTCCTTCGAAATCCTTCAAACATTTGTTGAAGGCTTGCAACAGCAGAGCACTGGACACGAGAGCTAGAGAAAGCTGACCTGAGCCAAGTCCTGCTGGCCTGGCGCCACCTGGTTGCGTTTGAAGGAAGTGTTCGGTTTTGTTGGGCCCTTTGTACCACAGCTGCCGTAAGCTTTTCATGTTTGCTGCCGTGGGTTGTCGCGAGCCAGCTGGAGTTGACGGTTGGCTGTGGGAGGTGGAGTGCTAGTGGATAATGGAGGTCTTTTTCGCTGGAGAGCAACGGACGCAGACAAGGGCAAAGTAGGAAGAGACGATAAAGAGAACAGAAGGGCTGAACAGTTACCATGTCGGAGAAGCACAAAGAAGCTCACTGACATGCTGGAAGAAGCCAATCAAAATGAGTGTCTCAGTCTCATCCTAAAGTCGGTCTAGATTCTAGATGCGTGACCGGGCAACTCAAAAACACAATCCCGCCACAAGACTTAAGGCCTAGGGATAGTTTGCCGTGGGACCAAAGGAACGCCAACATCTTCATGAATCCACGAGGGATAAATTTCGATGACACAACAAGAGTCGTACTTCGCTTGCTTCATTGCAAAAGAGTTTGGAAGTTTATGCAAGTTTGCTGCTCGCCTCTCTATTTTCCTCCTTTTGGGCTCGCTTTGTCCAAGTCTCCCTGGAAGTGTGTTTGCTTTGCTTGCCCTTATCAGGCTACTCCATTCCGCGAGGGTTTGAGTCATTTGCTTCTCTGCCAGTTGTTGCGAGACTGTTGTCAAGTTGTTCAGCAGCCACTAAACTCCTCCATAACTTTTGATCCGTGATTTGTTCATTGCCAATGGTGATGCACTTGTTGATCCCTCATGAACATAGGGGCTGAAACTCCATAGCACATGGGCAAGATGTCGGCTTAAGAATGGCCTCTCCCCCTTGCTTGGCCTTTCACTATATACTATATTTACTTTGCTTATGTGTTGCGATGTTTTTAACTTCAGCCCCTTGATTAAAAGAATTACTTTACTTTGAGTGATCCGAATCATGGCATTGTACTTTGCTGATAGCCGACGGTTCTTCTGCTTCAACATCACCTTTTGCTTCATCACCAAAAAAGTCTATTTGGCATATATTCTGGCAAATATGTTAATTAGCATTCTATCTGGCAGATTCTTGCATTCTACCTGCCGTATTTCCGGCATATTTTTGGCATTCTTTGTGGCACTCATTCCGCTACTCTTTCTGGCACATGTTCTCGATTCAATCTGGCAAAAACTCCGGCATTGCATGTTGCATATTGGTAACATGCTTGCGACATGTGTTCTGACATTTTTCTGGCAGGTATGACTCCGCCATTCTATCTGGCATAATTGCGGAGATGCTGGTGACCCGGTGGCGCCCACTGCGATCTAGCGCTCGCGGCCAGGGTCCGGCGGTGCCCATTGCGATCTAGCAGATCTAGCATTCGTAGTTGAGGCCGGGCTGTGCCCATTGCGATCGAGCGGTTGCGGTTGAGGTCCGGTGCCCACTGCGATCTGTCGCTGGGGGAGAGGAGGAGGGGAGGAGAGGACAGTGACAGCTTTGATAAAGTTTGGCAAGCCTCACGTCGTGGCAAAACCTTAAGCCTTAAGAGAAATAGGATTGCCACAACGCATGCAGCGCGACTGGCAATCAGTGGGCGGTTGCCAAGTTCCAGCCCACTTGGTGTTAATACATGTTAATACAACTTAAATCTCCGTGGCAATATCCACTATAAAATCGGCTCACAGAACGCTTTACAATAGACCCCTCAAGGGGATGCTCGATTATTGAATAGTGAATTGGTGGTGTTTTTGATGCATATATATATATATATAGACACGAACGTCTCCAAAAAATATGCCAATCAACCAAGCTCTCTGTCTTCTCAACATTCATCAAGGCCGTGCAACGTGGCCAATCTCAGGCTTCTGCCATAGCGAACAAGTGCTGTACGCCCAAAACTCAACTGAGACCCAGGTTGCATCAGAGCAACATAACACTTTCCTTGGTTTTTTTGCGGGGAAGTTCATCTCGTCAGGCGAAGCTACAGAGGCTGGACCGTCAGCGCAAGCTAACATAATAGCATCGGAACAGGTCAAAGCGCCTGTATGAGGTTGCAGATGCTGAAAGTTTTGGGGCCTTTCATGATCTACAAGGGTTGGTGTAGGACTTGATGTTCATGGAGTCAGATTGATGACCGGGCTTTTGCAGGTCCGGCAGGCCCAATCAAAATATTATAAGATATGTAATTTATGGAAAAGTACACACTCAAAGAGATGGACATGGGATAATGCAAATATATGACAGACGATGACACAATCCCCAAATCCTGATGCAGGCTATTCGCAAGCAAAGAGCGACAAGTAACAGACCACTCCAGACTCAAAGCAGACGTCGGCTCAGATGCATAGGGTTGCACCAAATGTTGTCTATTGACGTGCTGTATTGTTCTTTTTTCCGAGGAGCGATCTCTTCGTGCTGCATCTGCGGCGGTTCTTCGGAGTCTTAATCTCGGAAAACTAGTAGATGAAGGAACAACGACCGCTGCTTTTTATATAGTTGACTATGTTTGACCAGAAGAGTTCCATGTGGTTTCAAGTTGCTCACAAGGCCGGAGGAACACAAACTATTTACTGTACTTCATGGCCTGGCGTGACGCTGTGGATAAACATGAAGAGGCTTTGCAAAATTCCGAGGCCAGTCCAAGCAGCACCTGAAATATGAATTATCGGAAAGGGGTAGTAGAAATGCTACAGCAAGCTTGCGGACTGGATGGCGTTTGCCACAGTCTTTGCACTTGGCTCGGGTATATTTATTTTCTTTAAGTTGTTTTCTTCACTCAGCAGGCGCAGCACGCAGCTGCATATCGACAAGGTGCTTGCAAGGCCAAAACATGAGAGCGGATAAGCAACCTCAGCCCACTTCCACATGCTAAATGCTCCAAATTTACAGCTCTATGCAGGCGGCAAAACTTCTCCTTGAAAACGGGCAGAGGTCTTAGCTTCGCACACACACTTTTTTTTGTTTGTATATGATCAAAAATGTGCTTGTGGGTAAACGTATAGGAGCACCGGAGCACCCTGATTTTGCAGAGGTTGTGCTTTGGCTGTAGTGCGCTGTGTGGGATTTTGTTGTGCCTGGATCTGTCAGACGTTTAGGCAATGCTTTTTGCAGACATTTCGAGGAGGCATTGATTGAAGTATGCCACTGTAGCTCACTCCAACGAAGTGGCAAGCTGTATCCTTCATTAACTTGGCAGGAGCTTTACTGCGTTTTTGCTGGGGTGCCTGGCGCAACGGCTATGCAGGTTGGATGTGTCTAGGTTGCTTGGAAAAGTCAGATCAGCTTCGTTGACAGGCAAGCTACTTCGGACTTTGGGATCAGTGTTCAGAGCCCATGAAGCGCAATCCAAAAGATGGATGGCTCATCGCTCAGAATTCGCATGAAAATTCAGACTGTATCCACATCATTGGCAAAGTTTGCTGCAGGTATGGGTGACGCTTTCAGCTTGGAAGCAAGAGTGCTGCAAGAGCTCGCTTCTGGCAGAAGAGTCTGCGTGGTCCCAAGCTGTGGGATTGAGCCCAGACAACTGGCCTCCAACCTACTAGCGATGGTCTCTACCCTAGTAGCTTCGTGCTACTAGTAGTAATGGCCTCTAACCTAATAGGAATGGCCTCCACCCTATTAGTAGCGATGGCCTCCAACCTACACACACACACACACTTTATAGTACTTGTTTGATCTTATTTATGTACTGTTGGTGCGCTGTAGGTGGCCTTGGTCGCATCCACTCGCCTGTCCAAAAAGTACTATTTCACCGCGTGGCAGGTGCGGCAAACTCAACCGTGACGGATTGGATTGGTGCTGTCTATGTCACACTGAAAGCAAAGCCATCATTGGGGCCATGTTGTGCACTCTGGTGGTTAGGCCGCTACGCAGCGCCGGGTTGCCGACGAGTCAGTGGAGGCATTGCAATGGCAAAGCTTTGCAGCCAACTTCATTGGTAGCAAAACGCGTTCGCAAAGGTTGCATGCATTTGCACAACTTCACACACACACGGAGTTGATCTATGTTGATTTGAACTTTGGAAGGCTCTGTCGCGTCAGCTTGCGGAGGGAATGCAGATTGCTGTTGCGTGCACTTCTGCAGCCTTGAAGTGCCAGTCTCTGCTATTTTTCTCTCCCTTGGTTGGCCATGTCCTGAATGACGATGATGATTAGATATCACTAGAAAGCTCAGGCAAGGCTACAGTTTGCTGCTTCAGCATGCCTGGGATGCTTGGATTCAGGCAGGGTTACACCTTTTACACTTGGGTGCCTTTGAATTTGATGTAGAGGCTCGAGGCATCACAAGGACGGACATTCTTCTTCTTTTGCTCAGCATTCTGCTTCTCAAGGCTTTGCCTCGGATGCTTCGCCTTACCACTTCAGGGGCCTTGTCTGTGCCACCGTTGCCCTTAAAGACATCATGGCGGAGAGAGGACGCTTTGTGATATATCACGAAAGCTAGCGAAGCTAGCTGGAGTTACTCTTGCGATAGCAAGGTTTCTTTCGATCGGGTGCAAATCCTAACCCCTGATTTTTCAGGTCGAAGCCCCCCCCCTCCCCCCCTCCCTCTCACTCTCACTCTCAGTCTCACTCTCAGTCTCACTCTCACTCTCACTCTCACTCTCACTCTCACTGTCTCTCTCTCTCTCTCTCATCTCTCTCATCTCTCTTTCATCTCTCTCTCATCTCTCTCATCTCTCCCTCATCTCTCATCTCTTTCTCATCTCTCTCTCATCTCTCTCTCCTCTCTCCTCTCTCCTCTCTCTCTCTCTCTCTCCTCTCTTCTGTCTCTCGTCTTTCCGTCTCTCTTCTCTCTCTTCTCTCTCAGGAGGATCCGGGCAAAGAGCCACATAGGACTCTTCACCTGGAATCGTTTGCCCCGCCGAACTTGTGCAAGGCGTCCTGCCTTCTGCCTCCCCTCTCCCCCTCCTTGTCTTCCTCTCCCTCCCTCCCTCCCTCCCTCCCTCCCTCCCTCCTCCCTCTTCGCACTTCCGACAGTCCGCTCTGCAGGTGGATCTTTGCGATGCCACCGCGACGTCTCCTTGACTGCCTCCAAAAAGAGCGCATGTTTTTTCCTACCTCGCTGCCCTCCACTTTCCCATTCTGGAGCGCTAGCTTTCGCCCCCCCCTTGGCCTCAAGTCTACATATATATATATATACATATATATATATATAGAGTCCAGTGTTGCGCGGGAGGTTTTTCTAAAAGGTTCTCCTGACCTCTACCAACTATGCTGCATACAGGATTTGAGCTTGCAAAGAGCCATGCTGCTCGCCTGGCATTCGGCAGCTGTGGTCCGCATCTCACCCCAGCATCAGGAGCAGAGTAGCTCAACAGCCTTGACAGCAAAAGGAATTTTGCTTTACAGTACTCTTCTAGGTGGAAGTGTTGCCGGCCAAGCTGGCACATGAAGTGAGACTGCAAATATCTCCTTTGAGGGCATCGTGGCTAAGAGAGGACACGGACACGCTACAACTGGTGTTTTTTCAGCTCTCTTCCACCTGCAGTGTTAGCTGAGTCGAAGGACTTGCAGTTCCAGCGGGCCATACTATTCGCTTGGCACATGGCGGTGCTCGTAGCATGCTCAGTGGGTTTTCCCTTTGTCAGGCAGGTCAAAGCTGGATTGCGTATAGTCTTGGAAGCCCTTACTTTTAGATCTTTTAGTGACAGCGGGTGGCATACGGTATACTAGTGCGCTTAAAACAATTTCGTATTGCAATTTGTTACGTTTCGGAAGGCAGGGTGCAGGGGCAATGGTGAGGGTACCGCCTCCAGTGCTAGCAATGTCGGTTGCTACAGGGTGCTGGTTAACAAGGCAGCGGAGGGAGAAAAACAGACAGGTGCAATGGACCCTTTCAGGGGGCCAGAGTGCTCACACTCTCGCTGAGGTGGTTGAGTATTCATCCGACTTGCGGCTGTCATGGCCTTAGATTCTGTATCGCCGAGTGCGTATCCTTGCCGTGCGTCAGGCTTCAGCAGCGGTTGACGTCTGCTGCATCTCATGTCTTCCGCGTGACGACATGCCAGCAGGCGAGCGAGCACTCGCTTGTGCACTTTCTGTTCGCACCACTCCCCAGGCAACTGAGCGCCTTCCATGTTAGTCCTGGGCGTGTGCTAGCTGTAAGACGCAGTCCGACGTACTGCGTGGTGTGTGTAGTGCTGTAGGTCCCACCCCAACCCCCAGAATGCAGATCATGAGAGTGAGCTTGTTAGTGCTGCAGTGTAGTGATGTAGTAGGCCCCACCCCCTCCAGTGGTGAGTGATGTTTTTTAAGAGTGCGCAAGTGAGTGTCCGGCCCAGCGGGCTGGCTGACATATTTTAATCCACCGTGGTTGGCTTTTCCCAAATCAACATAAATCAACCAAACTTGCTGAAGCAATCCCGATCACACATCCGGGTTCATAGGATTTGAAAGATGTGAGCGTTAATTATTCGAAGGGGAAAAAGTTGGTACATTACCCCCAAGGCTAGCCCACCCCATTGTGGGTGCAACACTTGTTTACAAGTCCTTCATATACAGTGGCTACTTTGCGGCAACAATATTTTTACCTTTCAACTGTCACTTTCGTAATTCCTGCGCTTGACTTTGACTACAAAAGTGGTCGATGCATGTGGCTTTCGCACGCATAGTGAAGCTGAGAAGAGGCCGAGCAGTCAGAGGGCTGGATGCGGAGAATTTTGCTTTGCTGGCGAGTCCGGTGCTTGGATCAAGTGTATAGAAGGCCACTTATATACAGAAGCTTTTCTGTAGATAGCCGAAGTTGCGTGTGCGCCCATTTCTCAACAGGTATCAACCTTGCAGCGGTCACAGGACCTTTTGTTCGCTCCGATGTCAACTTGAACAAGATCAACGTTGCTGCCAGCTTTGCAGGAACAAGTCCGTCGTTTGATTGGTAGCCTTCAAGCAGCAGAGAAGGCGTTTTCTTTGCGGCTATGAGCTGTTGCCAGATTAAATCTTCCCGTCCCCAACAACAATGTAAGCAAGGGAGCTGCAAGATCCTGCATTCGCTCAATCTTGCATATCATACCCTTCAATTATCTTCGACTACCAATTCCGTCCAATTCCAATCTTTGCAGAGATTCTGCAAAGACCGTTTGTCAAAGTATGATGTATTGCCCGACACTTCATGGATTTGGGCACCATAGTCTCCATTCTGCAGGCAAGGGGTGTGTGTGTATATATCTATACCCCAGTTTCTTTTTTTGCTCGCCCCTTTTCTGTGCTATGATGTGCTCACGTGAACCATTGCCGCAAGTCTTTTGACTTCGGCTTGCGGAGCTTCTCGGGGAGGTCCAAGATGTCTCCATGGAACCGTGCACGTCCTCCGCAGCGAGTGCACTCCACTTGTGCTCCTTTGCGGGCCATCGTGTGAGTGACGTGCCCGTGCCATGCTCCTCCAACAAAGCTATTGAAAGTTTCTTCCCGGCATCTCGCCAGGATGTAGCTCTTGCACTCAGTGCACCTCAAGTAGGCCTTGTCCAAACGGGAGATGGTGAACTCCCCGCCTCGACTCCCTTCTGAGCTTCCAAGAGGTCATGGATGACCTCAAACCTTGTCTTCTTGGCCTGAGCCTGGGGCACCCAATGCTGGCGAGTGGACTCCATGGCTGTTTTGAGCTCAGTGAGGAGGCTCTTGGTGTGAAGCCTTTGCTTGCAGTGGGAGCATTGAACTCCAGAGCGAAAAGGCATTCACATGTGTCCCTGGTGATCCGGAGTGGCCAGGGGTTTGCCCAAGATTTCCTTCTTGTGCTGGAGGAGGGGAACCTTGTGAGGAGCTGCTCCTTGCTCAGGTCGGTGCAAGAAGTGTGGGCGGTCCTTGAGCAAAATGCTCATGCGCTCAGCCGCAACATGCAAAACATCCCTGGCATCTTCGTCGATGTGTTTTTGAAGGCTGAGGATTTCCTCATTGCGAGACGCCGTAGCAAACCGGTGTGCCACTCTGCCCGCATCTTTCTGAAAGGCCTTTCTGTTGGCATTGGTGTTGTTCTCAGACTTGCCAAAAAGGAGAGGATTGACATAGGCAAAGTCGTCAACGTCAAGACCCTGAAAAAGATCCGGGTATCTCTCATAGGCAGCAGTGGGCTGCCCATCAAAGATGGCGACGTGGGTCTTCTCCTTGACGCGAAGGGCCAAGTGCTTGAGGCCGTAGAAGTGAGCTCTGTCTCTGGTGGCTTGGCCTGGACAGATGCCCTTCAGGGCTGCCACCCGCTGCTTGGTGAAGACATGGTGCGTGCGCAAGACGAAAACATACCTCTTGCGCCGGACATCTTGGCGCAACAGCCAAAGAAATGGCATGGCCATGTGGGATGGCATATGAGGTCTGAGCAGCCCAAGAGCCTTCAAAGACAAAGGTGCCCATGCCCCGTTCCTTAATGTAGAAGATGCTCTGAGCCATTCCCCTCTGCCACAGCTCCGGCTCCGTGCCTGCCTCGGTGCGCTGCTTCCACTGCGCAGGGATGTCCTTGTCCATGCCCTGCTAGAACTTGCACTGCCAGAGGCGGTGCGTGAAGGTAAGTTCATCACCACAGAGGGGACACAGGCCTTCGTGTCGGTGCATAGTGCCCTGGTGCAGCGCCCTCAGAAAATGGCCCCAGGCGGAATGGTTTTGGTGACGATGCAGTCCAAGGGCCTCTCAAGGTCGTGGCAGCCTTCATATCTGGTCAGCCTCAAGAGCTCTGCCACTTGAACTCCTCTTCAAGCTTGTGCTGCAGACCGGGTGCAGTCAGGTATCCCTCCATAGCCGGTGCACTTCCAAGCCTTGCCACCTGAGAGGTCAAACTCGTAATCCATCAAATCCATGCACCATTTGCCATCTGTATTTGACCTTCAGCAGCTGGTCTAAAAGAGATGCTGTGTGCTCTCATCGAAGGAGTGAAAGACCTTCCAGGCCGAATGGAGGTGCTGTTGGTTGATGGAGTCTCCCGGGTCAGGGTGCTGCGGGTTCATGTCATAGACGAGACAACAGAGCCCGAGCGTTCCAAATGCAAACCCCTCACTGGCCGCCATCACCCTGAGCTGCTGTCGCCGTTGTGGGGCCAAGCCGTTTGCTTGCGCCCCCCAGGTCATCACCGGGCGCACCGCACTTTTGTGAAGTCTGTAGCGGATGTTGCGCTGGAGTTTGAGTCTGTAGAGCACTCCAGCTCGGCCTTTGCCCTTGATGAACCTCTTCTTGATCTGGTTGACCCTTCAAAGTCGTGCTGCAGTTGCGTCTGCCCCCAAGTCACGAAGGGCGTTGTACAGCTGAGGGTCCTGCTCCGTGATGTTGAGCTGCAAAGCCTTGGCTGATTCTTTGCTGCTGGTGAGAAAGCCCGTTTTGTCCTTGTTGACCTTCAGGCCAGCCTCCTCCAAGAGCCCATGCAGGGTTCTGAAAGCCAGAACAGCTTCCCGTGCAACATAGTCCGGGTTGGTGCCCTTGATGTCGAAGGAAACATCACCGACCCATGTCTGCAACGCCACTGTAGTGTGGGACAACAGCCCGGAGAGGCTTGAACAGAACCAGCTTTGAGATCGCTGCGCCTGAGGGCAACCTTGGAGGATGTCTCTGGCATAGTGAGTAGGCTTGCCCGCAAGGCCTTCAGCCTGAATGAGTCGAGGACCACTGTAGAGATCCAGAGCCAGCTTGAGGTGAACTGGCGGGTAGTGCAATTCGGTGGATGATGTGATCCAGGTTGACGGTGTCATAACAGCAAGAGAGGTCAGCCAAGCATGTCACCGTGTGGATGGCCCGGTGCTTGCCAATCTCTGCAGGGAGGAGTCTTCCAACAGCAATGCTCAAGCAGCCCCTTCCAGGTCTAGCTTGATCCCATGGAAGGTCGTCGTCGAGGGTGAGCAGTGCTGGATGTCGTGCTTGCGGTAGGCGTTCCACGCTCGGTACAGGCACGATGTCAATGCAAGTGGCCTTTCGATCTTGAAACTCTTGGGCACCAAGGCGATGTTTGTGTATCTCAGCCGGGTCGGCAACAAAGCAGTCTTCTCCATCTCAGTGAGCAGAGAGGCCAGTCTTTCCACCGCTGGATATGGTAGATGTCGTACCATGTCATAAGAGATCCCGTCAGGGCCCGCTGCCTTGTTGGGAAGCTTGCGCAAGAGCTTTTGCAGCGCCGAGGGGTCAATAGACTTGTATGCGCACTGGGGATTGAAGCGGAATCCAGATGTCCCCCACTGTTCTTCTCGGGCTTGGATGCGCTCAAGAGCTGGCAGGTCCTGGAAAGGTCTTTGCCAAGCTTGATCTCTTTGCCGAAGGGTGCGAAAGAGCCCCCGTAGACCCTTCTGATGAGCTTGCTGAAGCCACTGTTGGAATTCCAGGCCAGTGGAATGTAGGACCTGTTTCTGTGCACAGTCCTCCTGCTCCATCACGACCTGCTTCAGCGGCCCTAGGTCTTGGCTCGGATCCTGCAGCCACTGTTGCAAAAGAGCCGGGAAGACGTCCGGGAGGAAGTCATCTGACCCATGGCGATGAACTTCAGTGGACATGTGGTATAAATCGTTGATGACTCCTTTGTGACCAGTGTGGTAGACCACGTTGATCCTGACATTCGGCTTTTCCCAGAAGGCAACAGGCGCGGGAGGTGTGAATGTCGAGTCATCTGAAGGCCGATGTTGGAGCCCCTTCCCAAAGTGGGTGTGTGCAGCAGTTGTGTCCATTTGTGCGGCCCATCTGGCCAGATCCGTGCCCAGGCCGGTGATGAGGTCGTTCATGATGTAGGAAGGACCGTCATCCTCTCTGAAAGAGGTCCACAAGGGAGGAAACTGAAAGGTCCTTCAAATAGTGGGAAACCTTTGCAATAATTGTTGCACTGGTTGAGCCGGCTGCTCACAATCCAGATGAACGCTAGTAGTCCAGCTGGCTCCCATGCAAAGTGGTTGGACCTCCAGCGTCGAGGATTGGGGCCTTGAACTTGCTTTGAATGACCGTGGCTGCCAATGTGTTGGGGTCGTTCTGCCAGTCCCCTCTGATGATGAAGGGTGCCTGCAGATGGTGGAGGTAAGACCTTGGCGCTGTAGGCTAATGGAGGTCCAACCATTGCCCTCCTTGAGGCAGGAGAAGGCAGGATGAGTGAGGTGACGTGACAAAACCTCCTGTGTTCCAGCCTGTGTTGGCAATGCTGAGGATGAAGTTTCTTCCCGCGCGGGACAGTGTGGGTGAGTCGGTGCTCAAGGTGCCGGACAGTGCATCTGGAATCAGTCGGGCCTTTGCCCTGGGCTCACCATTCGGCCACTTGGACCATTTGAGGATGAAGTGCATGGGCCTTCAGGATTCGATCGGCTGGTATTGAGCCGTCTTTTTGTGTTGCCTCCTTGCCCAGTGGGATGACCCGGAAGGCCATAGACTTTCCATCCCCGGCAAGAAAAGTATTGTTTGGCCTTGAGGGCGCCCTGCTCTCCCAAATGTGTTTCCTGGAGAAGGAGCAAAGAAGCAGCCCTTGTCCAGATCCAATCCTGGACCTTCTGCCCAAAGGTGGTGACATTGCCGAAGATGAGGGTCAAAGTTTCATGAGTGAGTTTGCCGTCGCCTTTTGGCCTGAAATTGCTCCACTTCAACTCGAGTGTCTTCAACAAGTTCGTCCTGTGGCTCCCTGACCAACCAAACTTGCAAGATCTCCTTTTTCTGCTGAGGGAGTAGATGAGGGATGGGAGCAGGGTAGTGCTCTTCATCTGCAATCCACATGGCGTTGTCCATCATCAGTATTGATTGGTAGTGCCCATTTTGAAGCCATGTCGACGTTGATTCCATCCTCAGAGAATGGGAGGTTGACATCAGTCGAGAGGTCCAGCTCTGTAGAACGCTTCGTCCAAGTGCCCTCCACCATTTGGAAATGTTGGAGCTGCAGGATGACACCGTCAGGAGCCCCATAAAGGAACTGCCCATTCGCCTCATCAGCCCAACCATTGATGAGCTCGTCCAGAGTGAGAGGTTGGTCACTGGTCTCCTTCCGGGAAGATGATGTTGAGCGGAACCTGGTCTCTGATCTCAGTGTGCCCGCAGAGGTTTCGGTGGAAGCACTTCCCCCCAAAAAAGCTTTGGGAGAATTCCCATAGGAAACCCACAAAGTCCGAGGCGTCCGCTTGCCCAGTTCAAAACGGGCTGAAACTTCCTTCATGTGCGCCAGGCCGGTGAGGAGTTGAGGTTCTGCATCAGACAGAAATTGTCTGACCGCTTGATGAGATCGTCCCCATGCTAAGGACGTGTCTTCAGCAAAAGCACCAGCCCAGCACCATTCCCACAGCATAGGTTTTGCTGCTCCGGGTTTCTGAGGATAGAGGTGAGCGCCTGAGACATTGGCCATAAGGCCCATGTGCTTGTGAATGAGGCTCTGCATGCGGCGCAGGTCAGCCAACACTTGCTGTCCATGTTGAGGAGAGACTGTTTGGGCGTATCTCACGCAGGACTCTTGGAGGTCTTGATCGCCCAAATCATAAAGGGTTCTTTGCCCTGCAGTCAGGGCTTCGTCAAAGTCCAAATCCATGGCCTGAGTCAAAATTTTGGCCAACGAAGCAACAGGGGGGTCCTGACGGCAGCAGAACCTTTGCAGGCCTGCTCTGACAAAGAAGAACTCAGTGCCCCCGTGGTGCCTCAGCCAAAGACTCCAAGCCGCTAGTGTCCAAACTCCCACCAAAGACTTTCAGTGGAGGTCGTCGACGATGTGGTCCATAGCTCCACGCCCCTTGGAGAGCTGGCTTTTGAGCCTGAAAAGCAAAAATGGACCCAGGTTGCTCTCAACCCCACAACCAAAGTGATCCGCGCGAAGAGAAAGAAGAGAATCCCCGACGTGCCCATGACGACATGTCAAACCCCTGGAATCTGCAAGAATCAATTGCTCTGCGTGAGGCTGTGCAGGGTTACCCGCGCGACTGTCTGTCCTTGGTTTCCGTCTTCGTTTGGTTTCCTCTTCAGAGACAGTGGGCGCCCTTTTCAGCATGTTCTGCAACTGTTGCTGTTGCTCCTCGGTCAAATTGACTCCAAGGGTGTTGATGAACCCTGCAACTGCCGCTGGGACTGGGTCTCCTGCGTCAGCATCAGGCAAAAACTTCAAGGTCTGGCTTGGCCGAGTTGACCAAAGTCATGTACGAAGCACTTGTGGCGTTCAAAGCCTGTTGCTCATTCTCAATCTTGGACTGAATGTTCTTTCATCTCCTCAAGGAGTTCCTGGTAAGCCCTCTTGGTGGCATCAATCTTCTGTTGAAGGCTCTGCTTTCTGTGGGACAGGTCCTTGAGTAAGGGGACCTGGGTCTTGAGCTTGGATGCAACATCTTTCTCCGTGGGTGGAGCAGGCTTCGTAAGCTTTTCCACCAGTTCCCTCACAGTGGGTGGCAGCTGCCATGTTCTCCAACAGCACATCCTTGAGGTCTGGACCCGGAGTAGGAGGCGGAGGAGAGATGCCCGCGTCCTTCAACTTCTGCCTCAAAGAGGGGTCCATGGGTGGCCCACGCGGGAGCCAAGGCTTCCGCAGTAGCCTTCTGGATCTTGGTAAACTTCGGAGGCCTGGACGTGAGGCCTGGTGGTGGGGAGACCGGGTATTTCGATGACCTTTCGGAGACCTGGAGGTTGGCTTGGTGCTGTAGGGTTTGCGCCATGCTCCCCAGCACATACCTAGTAAGCCCTGGAGGATGTGGATGCAAAAAGGAAGAGGGCCGCAGTGCCAGAAACGCAAGATACATCAACACATGACCATGCAGCAGCTTAAGGCGGAGGAGTGTGAGATGGCCCATGGGCTACCCCTCACGGGAGGTGATGCCAACATGGAGTCCAAGCAGGACTTCATCGACCGGCTAGTCAGCGAAGAGAGGCCTGATGGACACCGGCTGAGCGTCCAAACAAACTACATGGTGTGTCAGTGTGGCATGAGGGTACTAAAGAACTCGGCCAGAGAGAAGATCCAGCAGCTCCAACAGACCACCTGTTGGGATGGACTATGGGTGCCGCTGAAGACATGGACCGGCAACCCTTCCCACAACATGTGGCGGCGAGGCAGCAAAGTGCACTGCAAGGTGTGTGGCGGACACGCCATCAGCAGGGCCGGAGGCTGGGAAGCCAGCCGACACCTGCAACGGCCATGCACAACGCGAGAGGGGCAAACGCAGCTGCGGTTGCGCTTCAAGATTCAAGGCCAAGGGGGCCGAGCAGAACAGCTGACCAAAAACGTCCGAGAAAAAATAGGCAGGGAAGACTTACAGTGAGTAGCAGTGACAGTAGGAACCAACTGACTGCGAGTTGGCCGTCCGTTGCCGGCACGCGCCGAAAGGGACAAAATGCCTACGCCGTACTACGTATTGCCGATATAACATATATAACATCGCTTATACAAGATCTCGGGCAGTTTATACCGACCGATTAAGTTGATGATGGACCAAACTTCTCACCGGGCAGGTATCCGAGTCATCATGGAGCAGCGATCAATCAAGGTGACGGGTTTGTCAGGTTTGACGCAAATCAAACCACGTCACCTGCATTGTCAGGGCCTCGCAGTTGGTTGAACTGCGTCAGGCGCATTCCTTGTTCGTGCGCAAAAGTAAGAGTTGGTCACGCGTGGGTCGAACGCTGAAGGTGTTCAATGCCTGGCAGAGAGCATGCATGCAGGCCATTCGTGAGTACACACGGAAGTTCAAGACCAATTAGTAACAGAGTTGGTTCAAAGCACGACTGACTATGTTTTGCATTGTGCGATCAGGGCGAGCAAGCTCTGGAGGACAGCGAAGGGTTGAGGGCTGGCTTTACTTGCCTGCTGATACGACAAACAAGAGCTTGAAAAGAAGATTATATAGATTGAAGAAGAAAGAATTGCGGCTTGTAGCCTTGTGACATTGGTAGGACGAGCGCAGCTTCATGCTCCGGGAGCCGGGGGGCATGGCGTATCGAAGATCGATGAAGCACTTGTGACAGATGCAATTGAACGCCGACAAGATTTGTCCAGCAATCATCCAACGTCATCACTTGATTTGGTTTCATTCATTGAGGCTGACCAGGCTCCAAGAAGAGAGCCGGCATCGTGCTATTGATATGCTGTGGCCCTGACAGCATTCTCCAGCTTACTGAAGTTCCAAGTCCTGCTGTCACCTTGACCAGTCTCAGGCTTGATGTCATGACTTTGTCCAGAGAAGCAGTAGCTTTGGCAGCAGAGGCCGGGTTGTTAAACATGAGTTTTTTGCATCGTATATTTTTCACGATTGGTTGAAAATAATCAGTTTCCATAGAGTAGAGAAAGAGCAATAAATAGACAAAGGCAATCTATGTCCCTTAGTGTTCTCCATTCAATAGTCAAAAAACAACAGGTACCTCAATAATTTGTACCCTTGATTAATCAAAAATATATTGATATCATCAATTTATACAGAATATATATTATTGAAATATAAGTAATACATATTCAAACAATACTTCTAAAAAAATATATATAATTGAAAGCATATGTATAATTGATATATTCTATTCATGAAGTTGTTTGCGAGAGGTTTTTCTTTCGCGAAAGCAAATATGTTATTTGCAAAAGATTTTGTATTTTTGTTTTGAATTGAGGAGGAGCTTTGTTTTTTGATGTTCGATGTTTTTTTGTTTATGTATATTTTTTTCGTTTGGTATTCACGAAAGCTAGCGAAGCTAGCTGGAGTTACTCTTGCGATAGCAAGGTTTCTTTCGACCGGGTGCAAATCCTAACCCCTGATTTTTCAGGTCGAAGACCCCCCCTTCCTCCCCCCCCCCCACCTCCCCTCTCCCCACATCCCCCCCTCTTCTCCTCCTTGTCTTCCTCCCATCTTCCTTCCCTCCCTCTTCCATTGCTATCCTACGACCTCAACCCTGATGAGCACTTTGCCCAAGCGCTGGCGCGGGGCCGCGATTTGCTACCTACCGAGCTACCAGCAGTGTTGGATCTAGACCTGGCATTTGCGGCCGACTGCCATACTCATTACCGAGGTCCCTCCTCCCTCTTCGCAAGTTCGATTCCGTCCTGTCGTCGCTCTTTGGCATGCGGTTAGCGTTGCGTATCTTGCGGCCGCACTCGCTCACTCTCACTCTCACTCTCTCACTGTCTCACTGTCTCTCTCATCTCTCTCATCTCTCTCATCTCTTTCTCATCTCTCTCATCTCTCTCTCCTCTCTCTCTCTCTCTCTCCTCTCTGTCTCTCGTCTTTCTTCTCTCTCTTCTCTCGCGGGAGGATCCGGGCAAAGAGCCACATATAAAGGACTCTTCACCCCTGCCTCCAAAAAGAGCGCCGTGTTTTTTCCTACCTCGCTGCCCTCCACTTTCCCATTCTGGAGCGCTAGCTTTCGCCCCCCCCCTGGCCTCAAGTATAACGTTGGTATGAAGTAAGGATTTGCGAATTATTTTAGACTAGATAATTGGAATTTCCAACGATTTCTATTTATTATTAATTTTATGTATGTTGTGTATATAATCTTTAGAGTGAATAATGTTATAATGTTTGGTTTAAAAGATATGATCTATTTTTTCCGATAAAATTCGAATTAAAAAAGATTGTTGAATTTGATTTAGCTTTATTTATTTGAATAAAAAATTGGATTTATTTATATTGATACGTAAATATATTAAATAAAAATATATAATTTATGTAAATTAATTAATGAAGAAAAATAATTTAATGAAAATTAATTTAATTGATTATATAATATTGTTAAAGAAAATATGTAATTTATGAATTCTTAATTTTCTGTATTTCGAATATTAATAGAATATAATATAGAATTTAAGGATTAATATATAGAAATAATACGATTATATTTAATTATTTATAGAATAATATTTGAAAAAAAACAATGTATTTAATTTCTATTATATTATGTTTTTTATAATGGATTTTGTTATTGAATTTTAAATATTTTTGTTGAGAATTAATTATATATTATTATAATAAATAATATAATTTGATAAAATATGTGTGTATAAATATATATTATTGAAGAATTTAATTTTATTAAATATATAAATATATTTTTTATAAAATATTTAATTTATTTAAAGATTGATGCGCATCGGCATAATTGGATTGGATTGGATGAATAAATTTGGGTTATGTAATTTAAGGGCATATTTAGATTTATATTGCACTTATGTTAGGGCTATGTTGGCCTTATGTGGAATTATTTTGAAGACATATTGAGGATATATTAGGCAATTTTAGTCGTTTGTTAGGGGCCTCTATCTATAAAATATCGATTATGTTTATCTATCCGATGTTATTTATCGACACCACCCTTGAAAAATACCATATATTTTGTATTTCTCCATCTTCGCCGCCGCGTCGCATTTCGATATGTGAAAAGAAACCATATAAACATACCAATTTTTTAATACCTTATATATACGAAATATTGTTAAGTACAACGACTTCAATGACCCGGAAATGGAAAGGTGATTCCCCCCCCCCCCCGTGTTGATGACGAGGATCGGCAGGCCTTCCGGACAGGGCACGGACGCGTGGCCGGCGCCCGGATTTTATTTAAAATTATTGAACAATTTCGTATTATATTAAAAATATCGATATTTTAAAATTTCAGACAAAAATAATATTACTAATTTAATTGAAATTATTAATCTATTTTAAATAAAACAATTATAAATCCTTGGAGAATTCGTAATTTTATTTGAATTTTATTTAATAACGATATCCTATAATGATTTTAATATCTTATTATATAATTATATATATTAATGATCTTTGATTCATAAAATTAAAATGTATTCCGGCAATACCAACATATAAGAATATAATTTTTACAAATTATTTAATATAACGATATCCTACAACAATTCTAATAACGATATCCTATCGGAATCAATATCCTAATTCCAAATATACAAATAACCACATTTCTTATATTCCAATAATCCATCGAAAAATGTCTTAAAAAATTTCGATCCATAATATCGTCGAATTATCTTATAATACGTCGATCGAAATATTCGTAAAAATCAATATTTTAGTAATAAATAATCTCCATATCCTCCTAGGATGGCTTACGAATCGACATCATGGATTGTGATTGCACTTCAGATTGTATCGATAATACATCATTGTATTTTTAAGATTGAATTTTTGAGATGGGCATCATTAAAGCCGGCAATCACAGACTCATCAACATAATTAATGTTCATCATTGTATTATGGCCAAATCCTCGATTTACCTCACGAAAGAATCCATTCTTGAATTTTTAACCCGATTGAACATTGATTCGTCCTGGATTATGATGCACAAACAATATAAATAATTTCAATAGATCTCGAACCAACAACACCTGATTTTCTCAGCCGATGCCATGAACTTGGGATTAGATGATATCATTGCATTGACCCAATCTATCCACAGTGTTACATATATACAGTTGATCCGGCAGCTGACCCACAAGTGGGACTCTTAAATGCCCTGAGCGTCTTCGTGCTTTTCGTCCGATTGGATCGTTCAAGCGCCAAATGCCACATGAAAACATACAATTCCATTCCATATATGCCCGAGGATGTATTCATAGCCCGTCGTGATGTGCTAGGACCTTCATTGATATATATATATAGTTTGAGGGATCATATCAATCGTAGGGCCTGTCTGCAATTTGATCCGCCAGATGTACGCACGCACTTGCGTTATCGATCCATTCCTAGATTTCTGCTTAATCAGGCCCTTGTTGCGGGAGATTGTACTTATTGTCACAGTGCCATTGCCATTCGTTCCAATATAAGCATTACCATAATATATATCCTCAACTCATGGGCTATGAGAAACAAGCTAAAGAACAAATCGTTCGCCTGACCAACTTGGACAATGGACGTGGCACACGCATCTTTTGTCAGACCCAATGCCGTAATATCCGTATTCACGAATGTGGAAACCTCTTTCAATTTAATGTCATGATTAATCAGACGTCTACTCCAATGCATTTCCCTTACATACCGGTCATGCTAAAAGATTCTCGCACGCCTGATCCGCAACCTATGGAGATCGATGTAAATATACAGGCAATTAGACCGGCTTTGCAACCTGCCAAATGTCTTTATACTAATCAATATTATTATGTGATTTTTTTTTATATTTCATGATCTACATGGAATAATACCCTGCAATAGGAATACACTCGTCCATCAGCAAATCTCCAAATCCGCACATAAGATTCCGTCTTCCGTTCGTGCACCACATACCATGAAACAAATGTTAGCCATGCCCCGCATTAAACATCTGTCGTCTGCCGAAAAAATATAAATGTCCGATTTGCCAAGTTCAGCTAGGTCGAAAGGTCCTCATTGCACATCTTCATAAGGAGCATCAGCTTGACCGTCCCTTGAATTTTCCATTTCGATCCGATCGTAACATGCTATCGGATGAATTTGCTTGCAATCGTTGCTATAATGTCTTCATCATGGATTTTGTATTTTAATTGTATTTTCGCAGAATTACCTGCCCTAATTAATCAGAATCACGGAATTCCATACCTATTAAAATTTTACTTGCAATCTAGACTAACGAACCTTATATTATAATTGTAGGCATATTCCCGCCAATAACATCTCCGAAAATAAACCGATAAAATAAATCAATCCTTACGAAAATATTTTTCCATCAAAAAATCCATGTTTTCATCCTAATTAAATGCTAATATATAACAAATTCAAAATTATTAATTATATAATATTTCCGCAAATCATCGATAAATCGAAAATTTAATATCGATTCCTATCGTTAACCGCAAAAACGACCCAATTAACTAAAGAATAAATTTATTTTAATTTTTGCTTCGAATTACGTTATATACGAATATAATTTCAATAATTATTAAATAATATATATAAATTAATAAATTCGACAAAAAAAATAAAAATATAAGTTTAATATATTTATTTAAATCCAAATTAAATTAATTCCATCGTTTACTCCGATAATTATTATTTATTATCCGGATCTCCCATATTCGTACCTAATATAATATTCCATTTTCAATTTCCTTTTTTATCCAGTTACCTAGGTCTAGCATTCAATGGAAAGGCATCCATATTCATGCCTAATAATACTTTACTATACAATTAAAGAACTTAAATCATACACTCCATGCCGTTAAGTACGCATTGGCCCCAAGACTAAACGTTTATTCCCTCCCATCATGATGGACGAAGAAATACTTTCCGACGATCGAATCAGAATTATTACTACTATCGGTGCCACTGTCGGCATGTTGCCTCAAGCGAGCAGACTGTCGACGTTTTTTGGCGGCGGATGTCTGCAAACGTAGGGCTGCCGCGGACAAGGCCTTCTCGACTTCTGAGCGGAATGTTTCCGGACTAGTGGGGGCGCTTGCTTTTCCGGACTGGTGGGGGCGCTTGCTTTTGAGCTGTATGACGACGTACGACTTCATTGATAACCCCAGGCAGGGGCCCAGTTCCTTCCCAGGACTTTTCACTCTTCCAAAAGCCTCTTCGCAACTTTTTCGGGTCAGGCGCATCATTCTCTTCCCCAGCAATCTCTTCACTGTTGCAATGCTCCAGCCATGCAAGTCTGCACCAGGGGAATCACTGAAGAGCTTGTTTTTCAACCGAATCCCATAAGCTCGACCTGGGCTGAAATCCATTTCTAAGCAGTATGTTCTGGTAATAAGGAATCCAGCGCAATGGAAAAAGGTGCGTGTTTCAGGTCGGAACTCACCGGGGTCGAAGGCTTCAATGTGGAACTTTGGCCCGGTAGGGTCATTGTTCACCATATATTGGGCACCAGACCTGTACCACTAAAGCAAATCCTTAATGCCATGTATAGGCCTGCGTTGGAGGAAGTCTTCGATCCATGCGCAACCCCATCCGAACAAGCGGTCAACTGGGCCTTTACCGTGTTGTTCTCCTTGGAAATGAACCGTCACCTAGGCGCAGCAGATTTTTTGGGAGTTGAATAGAAAAGTTTGGTGACAAGTAAGGGCGCTACATACTACTACGCAAACCTTTGCCACAGATGTTCCCTCCAAGCAGCTGCCACTTTGTCTTGCGGCAGGTCGCGCAAATAGAAAGCGTAAGACTCCCGGCTGCGAAAATGAGGGCCGCAATCGCAGACAAGGTGGAGACGCTTGACCTTTGACCATTCATATTCGGGTTTGCCTCGGACTACCTCCAAGATTCGCAGCATGAGCAGTTTGGCCATTTGGCTGTCATGGTCCAGCACCTCGGACAGAAGCAAGAAGTTGAAGTTTTGCCGACCAGGCGTGTAAACTGTGCAGCCAAAGACGGTAATGCTCAGTTTGTTCTGAGCGTGAAATTCTGCTCCAGTCTCCTCTTTCGCCATTGGATAGCGCACGTTCTCCTTGAAATCAAAGTGCATGTACGCTTCATTGGCCGGAAGCTTTGCGAGCAATTCCTTGGCAAACTCCCTTTGTTGCTCGGCTGACTGTTGATGCCAAGTGTAGGCTTCCAGCAACTCACAATGGCCCTTTAGCTTATGACATGCTTTGGCTTCAGCCTCGAACAGTTCCAGTCGAGTTCCCCTTGACAAGTCTTTTCGGCTCGGATCAGTTGCGCTCTGCGAGTTCTTTGAGCTGATGTACTTCCAGGCGCGCACGACGACTTCAGACATGCGAGAAGACTGGAGGAGCTGGATGGTGGCACTGTCTGCGTCGAAAGTTTCGAAGTACTTGGGGAAGATGGTCACCAAGGCAGCACGTCTCCTCTTGTATTCTTTCTCGGCTCGAGGAATGATGTGCCTCTTGAATGTCCTGCAGTGGGAGCAAACATCTGTTTTGCGGCCTGGCCGGCGGTAGGTGGGATAATGGACTCGCATCAGCCTTCTGGGCTGAAATGCCGATCTGTTTCCGCAACTCTGGCTCCTCGTTCCAGATACGACCCAACCTCTTTGTCAAGAGCCTTGCGCAAACTAAGCGCTTGACTCCCTTGCTTCGGACAACTACAACTTTGCTGGAATCATTGCTATTTCGGTCGCCTACGGCAAATACCTACGACAAACGTTGCACAATAAAATGCCTACGACCGCCTACGTCCCCAAGCAAGTTGCCTACGCGAGCCTTTTGGAGGTTACATCTTGTATAAGCCTTTTCATATCAAAAAAACTCGGCTCAGATGTTGAAGGCCAACAAAACTCCACCGTTGACTTCCGACGAGATTCGAGTGCTACTGGAGCGTATCGTACATCTTGGACAACAACAGACGGTTCACAAATTCTCAGCTCTCCGTCACGTGAACCAGGAGAATTTACCTCAGGATGCGACAGTGGCCGTTCCATGGAGGTTGGATTTGAGCCTTCGGACACCGGCCACAGAGCTCCACCAGCACCTGTTGAAGTTGTCAGGCAATGGCATCACCCAATTGGCACTCCTGAGGGTCCGGTTGGCGAACTTGCAGCGTTCGCCTCTCGCCAATGCAATCTCCCAACGCTTGTGGAGGCGACGACTTCGATCATGGCAGCCAGGCTGCTTCTTGCTCAGGTTTGGAATTGCACCATGAACTCGACCTTCAACACCGCAATTTGGGGTCCATGGGAACCACAACTGCTGAGCATGCTTGTGAGCCATGCAGGGGAGGTTGTGAATCCATGTGATGATTGCTTCTTAGGCCGCCTGCTTGCTGACTGGTTTGATACTCACTCCTTTTCAGATCAGCATGACGCCGGCGAATTTGCTGGCTGGTTCCGACAGAGGTTGCTAGAAAAGACCTTGCCGCATTACATGCAAGCAGAATGGAGTGCTAGACTCACGCATTCCATTGAAGACAAGGCCACTGTTTTTGCACCTGTCCCCTTGGCCTGTGCTGCAGAGGGTTCCGTGACATTGCAACAGCTCATCCTCACTTGGCACCAGCAAGAATCATTTGTCCATGCATTTACATGTGATTCACCATGGATTTGTCTCCAAATCTCTCGTTGTCCCACCATTGGCACCAAAAGCCATTGCTCGGTTGAATGGGATCGACGTGTCCCCCTTCAAGTGCCAGTGTTTCGTGCCAACCAAGGCCTTCAGGTGGAGTGGCATGATTTCGTTGTGACGGCCGGCATCACTCACAAGGGTGAGGCTCCGACTCAAGGGCACTACCAAAGTGGAACTGCCTTGGAGTGTGACGATCACCGATCAACCATGCCCCTCGGTTGTGACCCAATGCTGGCCAGATCCATCTACCTTCTTTGGATCGTGCCGAATCTTACTTGGCGCGACCACTTCGAAAGCCTCAGAAGAGTTTAGATGAGCTACTTGGCGATCGTTTTGCCTGACTGCATTTTTGACCACCTCTTTTCGTGAGATTGGCGCTTCGACACACCTGATGTGTCCGGATGGCTACACACCTCCGCAGCCCAACACGGGCGGCCTGAAGCGGCTGCTGGAAGATGAAATGATATTTAAAAAATATATATATATATATAATTTATATGATGTTTTTCGTTTTACAGATATCTTTTTTTATGAAGGATTCGAATATATAATGTAACCTTCAGCTATTCTACGAGGAATAGATTCAATTGGATTGAACATGGAAATCATAAATTTCCGGGAAGAGGGTAATTCTTCCTCTTCAACCTTTGCAAATATGTCATACCCTGGAGGCATGGGTTTTGCTTGCAGCACACGGAAGTAATGCTCCACAGCATATGATTGCTCATCTACGAAACGCCGAGTTCTCTGATTCCACAAAAAAATAACCTCATCTAAGAGAGGAAAGCCTGCAGCACATTTCAGGCACCCATGCCGATCACAGTCAAGGGCGCGACAATGGATACGAATCATATCATCGCCAAGCAAGGGCTGGTGTGAGGCTTCATTCACATCGAAAACATTGGATCGCGAACTGTCTTTTGTACTCTGTGCTTGTGAAAGCTGATTGATCTCCAGGGTTCCAACAATTGTGGGCACTGCCAGCAAGCCATAGCCCATCAGCATTGAGATCGAGGCAAAGATCTTCCCAAAGACGGTCTCCGGGACCAAATCTCCATAGCCAACTGTTGTCAGAGTGACCGTTGCCCACCACATTCCAGCAGGGATTGAAGAAAATGCAGATTTATCATTTGCACTCCGTTCAGCAGCATACAAGCATGATCCCAGAATCAAAACAACAGTGAACACACCAAATAGAAATACCACTATCATTCGCAGTTCTTTGCGAAGCGCTGAAGTTAGGGTTTGATACTCTTTGACAAACTGAAGAAGCTTCAAAACCCGAAGCATTCGAAAGCAGGACAAAACATGAAAGGTATGGGAATTTGTGAAATTGAAATGCTTGCGTTGAGTGAACTTTTCATAAAGGGTCGGCACCGCTGCTACACACACAAGCAAGTCAATGATGCCCAGAAAGGAAGTGACATAATTGCAGCACTTTTTCCTGTGCACAAAGAGCCGAAGAAAGTACTCCAAAATGAAGAATGTGGACGCCGTAACTTCGAGGTCAGTGAACACTTTGATGAATCCGTCGATGTTTCCATAGTGAGGTACTGAAAGCATCACAGTTCCAGCAACGCTTGACACTACCTCAAATGTGACAAGACACACCTGTTATGATGCTATATGAGCAGCGGACAAAATTACTTGTGTAGCCAAATACCATTTGACATGATTATCGTTTTTGGCGGGGCCCATATCGTTCTCCAATGTTTCTCCAAACCGTAGTTAGCATAGCATACCGGCACATAGACTAAAACACAGAATCCACTCACAACCTCAGATTAGAGGCTTACAGTGCTTTCTGCACAGGAACGATACAGCACTTGATCTATGTGCTGTACTTGAGTTCTGGGCTGTGCAAGGATCACAACACATAAGCGGGGACCTAGTGGCTCGGCCCATGAACAAACACTAGTAATGTGGAGAAGTAGGTTTACGGAGTGCCTGGCGTGACATTTAGGTTATCGTTCGCTTATCGTTTGGATTATCGTTTGGGAAGTTGTCTGGGATTATCATTGATGAAAAGTTGTGCCCATCGGTTTAGCTCACATAAACATGTAAATGGAATATCATATTGTAACCACAAACGTCTTTGTGCCCACTACATCTTAAAAAGGTTATCGTTTTTGGTGGGGACCATATCGTTTTCCACAGAAACAAAGCCCTCAACATAGGTTTCGGTTTAGGGTCATGCCGTGACTAAATAATAAGTCAACCAATAATTTTGTCCGTCGCTCATATCTCTTCGTGATGAATGCCCAGTCAAAACAAGGAAGCATTAGGCAGCAGCAGCAGCAAAAGCAACTGTTTGACGTGTCAAATACTTCAATACTTCGCTTGTGCATAAAAAAATACCAAAATTGCAATAATGCCCGAAGCACAAGCACGCTTGACAGCAGGTTGAGAAGCAGCCAAGCCCACCGAGCTTGCCGGCTAGATGAGAGTAGAATATGTGCCACGCTGATCCGATTCAGGAAGGAAGGAGAACATTCATCCTGCGAGAAGTAGTGGAAACCTAATGGCGATGGCCTCCAACCTAATAGGATCGGAATGGCCTCTAACCTAGTAGCGATGGCCTCCAACCTGATAGCGATGGCCTCCAATAGAGACAACCGCATCATTGATGGCAGTTTCTATGCAAATTGCTTCCTCGAAATGAGATGTTGTACACACACTTCAAAATTTACGGCTATAGGCATCAGGTGATGGACAAGCTTTTTTCCATCTTCTTTCTAACTCTGTTTTGGCAAGGGATATAATATGTCCACAAATAATCTTGTAAGAATCTCTGCTGCTACTGTTATGCAATTGCGTTCTTGGAGCTTCTTGGCTCCAAATCAACAAAGGCCGGCAGTCAAAGGAACCGCATACTGACCCAGAAATATCTGTCATATCATGTACTTAGCTAGTTTCTAGTGCGAACAAGGCTCCAAATCAGATTCCGAATCAGAGGTAGTCGCCATCCTTGGATCTATTCCTCCATTCCCCTTTGTCCAACCTCTTCATAGAATCTGTCAAGACTTCCAATGTCCGCAATCGCTGCAAATGTCCGAGGCTGCTTTCAATGTGCTACAATGGCACGTGTAAGCTCGAGACGTTGGAGACTCAACTGTACTTGGCGAACCAATTCTGTGTGTCATGACGCGCAAAGGTAGTGGCGCTGGAAATCAAAGACTGTCCCAAAAGCTGTTCTAGTGGAAAACCACAAGGCAAACATAGTCAAACAATGCCTTATGATCTTATGGACTGGAAAACAAGCCTAGTCCTTGAAAAGCAGGTCTTACACTGCCTCACATACGTTTTGTGGGGTACGAAAGGAACAAAAGCAACACAGTGTGTCTAGGACCAGGACATGTTTTAGTCGTGAGCGAGCTTTTGCTGTTGCTAGTATCATCATGTACCATATTGCATCTACGTTTCAACCTTGAGAGGAGAGCTGTCGGCAATTGAAGATCTTGCATTGGACTTCAATTGTTACAGTATTTGGGCACGGTTCTTTTGCATCAAAGCTCTTGGCCGCCCAATGACTCCTGCAGTTCACAGCCATTGACGTCACAGCATTGCATACTGCAGGGACCCCGAGTCCTTGAGTTTATCTCGCTTTTTTTCCAGCTCCGCAGGTGTCAAAACCTGGCGCTAGCTCAAGGTTTCCACACAAGTGTAAAGTTGTAAGTTGTCCCGCAAATCTAGGAACCAACTAGGGAGCTTTGAAGCGGAGAGTGCGTTCTACGTAGTAGCTACTTCAATATACTACATCTATATGCTTACCCCTACCACTAGCTACTTAAGCCTACCGCACTACAGCCCGCCCCCCTGAAAAGCATGGCATTCTTCCGATTCATTCCAATCCTCCGGACCTGTGCGTTGGACCCTGTGGTCTTGAGGTATTCCTGGACCGCTTCCACTCCGCCATCCTGTATCGAAACTGAGGAATCACTGGGAACTCCACTGTCCGCCATCCGGCACAGATTCGGTATGTTGGACAACTCAGCTCGAAGCCTCCGCTAGCTTTTGCAAGGTCTTTTGATCTGGAGGACGCTTCCTTCCGCCTCCGCCTTGACCACTTGCCTCAGTCTATCTATATAATCTATTTGACAATGTTCGTGAACAAATCTCGCAGCAAGGCAAAGCTGGAGAGTGAGGCTTGTCCTAATCTCAGCTCCAAGTTGCACATCTGAAGCCTGTGTTGTAGCTTCCACTGTCAGCAGTATTACCCATACGAGTCACCACAGTGGCCTGAGCCAAGCGTGCCCCCTGTAACAGTATATGTGAGTCTAAGCGAAGGTAAGAAAGCTGTTGAAAGCCTGAAAGGTCGAGGTTCATGTTGTTTTGTTCATCCGAAGTCAGACTGAGAATTTGCATCAAGAATTGAGTTTGGCGCCTTGTGATTGAATTCCCCATTGATGCTGTCGACAAAGGAACCGCCTTTTAAGATCCATTGCTCATCTTCACCTGGCCTGTTTACAGGGTCGTTGGCGACAATCAGCAAACTGTGACAAATTGATATGTCCATCTCTCACAAAATATCTGAGTGTTTCATCACTTCATGTCAACTGAAGCCACACGCCTGGTGAGAAAAGGATCCGCTGTCCATTCCCAAACATTGCCAACCTTAAACTTCCAGCTACATGACTGTTGAAGAAAGAAATTACTTACAGAAATTGGGCATACATTGCATACATAGTCACATAGTCACTACATAATACTACACAGTCATAGTCTTCTCGAACAAGACATAGTGTCATAGTCATGTCATAGTCCTTTCCAGTTGAGCAGCAGTTGAGTAAAGTCCGTAGGAGTTGGCTGGAAAGGCCTGACAGTCGGAACTGGAGAAAAGCATCAAGAAATTCAGAAAGGATGAAAAGGTACAACACCATTTTTTAAGCCCGGGGGAGGAGGGCTAGGCTGCTAGAGCTAGGTAGGTAGCTCGTAGGGAGAGGTAGCTAGTAGCTAACAAGTAGCTACTAGTATGGACACAGGATAGCTCACGCTTCCTTGAAGAAGCGCTCGCACTATTCATTTGGTTCTTAGATTTTTACGGACACTGGACAGTTTAACAGTGCAGGTCTTTTTGCGTATCTTACGGTCGAAAGCAACCACTTGAGAAATCTCAACAGTGATCTGCAAGCTGATTGCATGGCACGTTAAAGCTCTGTGAAAAGCTCTTTTGTTATCAAGTAAGTTTGATGCTTTTATATAGCTCTGGTTGCATTTCCACCATGTGGACCGGAACATTCTGACTGTGCTTTCTGGGCAAGCTATGTCTTCAGTACTATGACTTGAATCTGACGTGAAGCAATCTTCTGCATTTTCAAGGACGCTACTAGGGGCTCCTGGCCTTACTACTAGGAGCAAGAAGCTACTAGGGGCTCCTGGCACCGGTAGGAGCAAGGACGCTACTAGTATTTTCATGTATTTTCTCATCGGGAAAACTGGATGACTGTCGAAACATTGGACACAAACTCGATCCCACCTTCACTGGGCTAATCCCATGGTAGCCATCCTTTCCACGCGATGACCATGACAAAAGACCACAGGCATTGCGGCATAGGTGATACTGGCATATACTATCAAGCAGTCAATCATTATTCTATGTGATTCTATTGTATTCCGCAGAACATTCAACATTCTCCACAGCATTCCGTGCAAGTTTTTGCAATTGCCTCCCTCAGGTTCTCAAAGGGGAAGCGCCCCTGCCAAATGTTCATCATCCACCTTGCAGAAGGCAGCTTTTCCAACACAAACGCCAGTGACAAGGATATGGGCCTTCCATCACGACGAACGTCTGAGCCATCCCAGGGATACAGGGACCTGGGGCAACTCTGCTGGGCAACTCTCCACCCTGCCTTGCGCACTTTCGACTGCGCATGTCTTTTTTTCAAACCAAACAGAGACATCCACGATTCTACTTTCTGACAGATGTCGCTACTAGTAACAAAGGGCATCGCTACTAGGAGCAGGGACGCTACTAGGGGCTCCTGGCCTTACTACTAGGAGCAATGTTCGCTATTGGACACAAGAATTGTCCACCCTTGCCTTTCTGAGAAACCGAGAAGTCGGCTCTTTTCGCTTCCCCCGTGCTGCATTTTCCCACTCGGCCTGCAAAGGTCCATCAATGAAGTTCAGAACACGGTCCGGCCATTTCCGATCTGCCTCCGTAGGCAATCGTTTGCCTGCCCATTTGCAGTAGGCCTTTAGTGTGTACATGTTGGATGTGCGTGCTTCTTGCGCAGGTGCTGTTGGCACCGAAGACTTCGTTGCTCTGCAAACTGTGATATGTTCCACTGCGCTTGACTGTGCATCAAGCGTTTGGCTGTCGCATCATTCCAGCTGATGTGCACCGCGGGATATTCTTTCCACCTCTCCTTCAAGGATGAGTCACGCCTCACTGCGAGCTTTCTCCAGTTCAAAACTCTCCCAGATAGCACCGGTTTGGTTCTGACACTGGCAAGCTTGCAAGGACTGCAGGTTTGGTGAACGGAAAGAGTTGAGAGCTGAGCCCCTCTGGATGCCGCCACCAGGCATGAAGGACAGCCACCTCAGCGTTGCAAAGATCGGAATCCTCAGATTCCGGAGCTGTTTCGAAAACACTGAAAAACTCAAATTGACTCAAGTAGCTAACTTAGCCTAGTAGCGTGTTTACTCTTCCTTACTTAATTAAGGAGGGCAGCGCAGAGCGGGCCACAACAAAATCACGACTGGATGCAGGATAGCTCACGCTCCTTCAAGGAAGCTCCCCCATGAGGGCAGGGGGGAGATTCCTTGAAGAAGCGCTCGCACTTGTTTAGGGAAACTTAACTTCAGGGTGTTCTCAAACGTCAGTTTCCGGCCCAGTGAGGTGCATCCTGCCACAGGCTTGACTCTCACATAGCTTGACTTGGAGAGGCATGGGTCACTAATTGTCACGAGCAGATCAGATGCGCAGCCGATTCACTGAAATTCTTGCCGACACTGAAAAATGCATGCAATTGATTCACTTGATCCTGGATGTGCTGATCAGATTCTGCCAGGATAGCCTGATGCCACAAAGAGAAAACTAAAGTTCAAGCGCCTCGTTTTGGCCAACGGTCAACTCGTTTTGATCGAAGAAACTTCCAAGTTACGGAAACAACATAACTGAACAACATCCTCTTCTTACATTCTTCACAACATAACTGATGATGCATGAAGAACAGGATTGTGCATCGTGATTGTGTGGGAAAGAGTATCTGCGATCCTCTGCGATCCGCTGGATTCTATGGAAGTCTCTCTAGAAGTGCTAGTGCCATTGGGGAGTGGACAGTAGCAGAACGCATCACAGCTGCGCAAGGTAGAGATGTCGAAAGAACGGGAAAAGATCAAGCTCATTGCATCAAATTACATTATATTTCTAGTTTTTCTTGTCATTGTGTCTATATATTTCTCTTGGATTTTTGAGCAGGCTTGTGGACTTGTTTTGTGGAAGAGTAGCCAGGTAGAAGAAGAGGGAATTGGATGTGCTTTGAGGTTGGACGTACTTTTGCGTTATGTGAGGCGCATCAGAAGCGCTGCCGTGAATCTTTGTTGTGCGAAAGTGAGCAAAATCCTTTGCGAAAAGAGAAACACCACTGAAATCCACTGAAGTCAATCAATGTGACAAATGCGCTTCACCACACTGGAAAAACAAACTGGAAGCACATGACTGGGTAGTAAAGCATGGCATGAACTTTTGTGCTATCTCGTAGCTTTATACTGTATCTTTCAGGACTTCCGCACCCCGGTACGAGTACTGCCAGAGACCACCTCGTTTTCCAAAGTAAAAGGGTTGGGAAAAGCTTAGCTCACTCACCTTGCTCAGGGAGCTGTTGAGGACAAAGCTCCAACCATACTTCTCAGCATCCGTCCTCCAATTAGCAATGCAAGCGTTTGGTGTCGGCGTCTGTCGCCCATGAATTGTGATCATTTGCCTTAAGCTCTCATCTTGCCTGGCCTGTACCTGGTTTCTTTGACAAACTCCCGAAAGTTGGCATTTGTGACTGGCGTCTCATCTATCTCGTATGCCTCCCAAATGCTTTACGTGTTGTAGGAATTAGTGAGTGGATCAGTGAAATCTGCTAAAATATAAAACACACACACACACCCACCTGCAAATAAACCTGCTTTGTGCCAGGGGCTCCTGATAACTCGTCGCCGCCCATGGTAAAACTTCGTGCCTGGGCATGGAGAAAGTCCTCTGCAAAGCAAGTTCTGTGGAGATTGGCTTGGCGCCGAGTTCGCTACTGGGATCTTTCGTTGAGATGGACCGACACTTGTCTTCCGGTGTTGTCTTTCTTGCCCATGGCTGTCTGCGAGAACCGTCAATTGCCTCGTACCTAGCAGTGAAAACAATTGAAAACAAATTCCTCGTTTCTCACAGAACGTCATTGCCATAAATTAAGCCTCGGTCTTCAAACCAAAAGCTCAACGGGTCGCACTCAGCCAGCCGAGCAAAATGATGACCTTCGATGAGACACGTTCCAATAGTTTCAGCTGACTTGTTGATTTATTGTTCCCTCTTTGCAGCTCCACTTGTTATGTCGAACTCCAACTTTGTCGCGGACTACATTGGGCTGCAGCATTCTCAGCCCATGGCAAGCAGTCTGATTGACTGGTGTGTGTGTGTGTGTGCGCGCGTACACGTGGGGGCTCAAGCCCAAGCTGCTTGCACTACATGCTTTCTCAAGTATTCTCTACTTCAGCAAGCTTCTCCAGAACTTCTGAAACTTCTACTTTGTAACACTTTTCTTCTGCGTCCTTGTGTTCCTCTCTCTTTCGATCTGCACTTGCTCTTAGCCCACATTCATGACTTTCTCTGCCGCTGCTGTTTTTAGAGCTTGGTGTCTGGTGGAGTCGCGTGATGCGATCTGAGCTGATTCGCAATGCAGAAGCTTTTCTGTCTCCTTCAACGTCCTACATAGAGAATGAACCGCCAAACCGACCCGTTCGCTTGCATGCAAGTGGAACAAGCTCTCTTTTGAATGCACTCCAGTATCTGGAAGAGTCCAAGCAAAGCCAACTATACAAAGAACAGGACCGCTGTGACAAAGGGTTTGTGGCTTTTGTATGCATTGTGCACGTGATGTATAGTTGTTCCTAGTAGCTTATTGTGTCTAATAGCTTCTTGTTACTACTAGTAAGGCACTTGTTACTAGTAGCGATGCACTTGTTACTAGCTGCTCAAGCAATTCAAGAATGAGCTGTCGGATCGATGTGTTCTGGTCTGATTACACTCCGCAGGCATCATGGACAGCTCTGTGCGCAAACCCTGGCTTGTTAGGCCTGCAGGAACAAGCTCAAGTAGAAAAAGTCATTCATGGACCCAAACCCAGGCGGCTTAGAAGGCTTACAGTAAGCACTAGTAGAAGCGGATAATAAGGCCAACTGGTAAGGAGTATTAAAGGCCAAGAAGAATGGAAGAAAGGTCTAAAGAAAAGCAAGAGTGCAAACGTGTATGATTTTCTGGTTTCTAAAGGCATTTTTTTTTCACAGTATGTAAAGCAAAGCATTCTCAGACATGAGTCCATTCTAAAGAGCTTTCATTCTAGATGCTTCTGGATGCCCTTAAGCCTTAGCTACAGCATTTCGCACCTGCAAAGCTATGAACGTGGGCGCACAGCACGAGCTGTGAAACCTGGACGATTCAGTGGATTCATGTGGTTTTGTTGTGGAGGTTACAGGCACGTGATGGCAAGTGAATCAAGAAGTATGGTGCGCGCCATGGAAATAGCCGAGCCGATGTTTTCCCTCCTCAAACAGCTTAGAACAGCAGTCCAAAATGTATAATATTCATTAATTTTCACTGGGAGAAACTCTAAATGGATACAACATTTGCTCCTCAATGTCTACGGTGATGTCGGTCTTCAAGTCCAATGGCTGCTGTATCCTGTCCTTCTTCGTTTCCCTGCCAGTCAAACACTTTCAACAACCTTGCAATTCGTCATGTTCAACTGATTCAGGGCACGGCTTTGCGGCAACGCCATAGCCGCGGATGAAGTCATAGACGTCACCGGCATTTCGTGCAGCAGATGCAACGCCTGTCTTTCTGAAGGGGTGCTAGCAGCGGGTAGCACACGAAGCGTGCAAATCAACTGCTGTGCCTGCTTCTCGAAGAAGCTTTTCAGACAAACGTGCCAAACGTGCGCCTTCTTCCTGCAAATTGTTTAACAGCAGCAAAAGACCGATTAGTGATAATTAGTGTATAAGTCCAGAATGTGGGACACGTACAACCAAGCCTTGTTTTCATGTATCTTTGTTTGTGCCACCAACAACAAGTTCTCACCCTCAATCTGCTTGTTGCCGATCACCTTGCACAAGAAAGATGTACATTGTAACGCATACCACCGAATGCTATATCTTGGCATCGGAGGGCTGCTTGAAAGCCTTACTAGCAGAATGATATTCATTGGTATTCCAATTAACACCCATCCAGCCTTTCCGATTTCAACCGCCTGCTTCGCTTTTGAGCGGGCCTCCACAGTTCGCGCTGAACAATTCGAAACAACACCAAATAGGCTAAAGGAATAATACAAAAAAACTAACTTGCAGTATATCAACAAATGGTTTAAAGTTTTTTCCCTGCAGCATTTGTCGAGCAGTCCTCCGCGGCATTTCCATAGTTCAGAAAGGCTGAGGCCAAGCTCTTCAGCGAGTTGGCTTCCCCGACTCGATCACCGACCTTTGCTCCAAAGAACATGAGTCTCCAAGTCACCTCATTCATTTGTTTTCACACTCAATTTTGCCGTCCGAGGAGCACTCTGCAGAATTCCCAAAGCTTCCTTCCCGGCCAGCCTTGCTTTCCAATTCATTTGCTGCTCCTTGACAAGTCGATGCCAGGCGTCATAGAGTTGTCATGACTAAACTCATGCGTCCTGCTGATCACTGCGAGCAAATCGAAGTTGCCCAACATGTGCATCAGCAATCACGTTCAGTGTTGCACCAAGCAACTGCCTGCAACACTTCTCCACATCTCAAGTGATAAAAAGACCTGTAGAAAGCAACGGAAAGCTGGAGTGGGGTGAGAAAGGGAAAAGCAAAGGGAGATCCTCGCAGGAGTGGTCTAGCCTGTAGTTCTTTTCTCGGCAAATCGCGATCCCCTCATCGCCTATGCGCAAGGCTTCTTCCTCCAGTGCTCGGCACATGCTTCACAGATCTTCAGATCCAAAGTGAGATTGAACTTGGCAGGCTGACAAATACACCATTCTCCACGTGCGCGGCAGCAATTTGGCATATCGTTGACGCCTAGTGAGCTGTGGTCGGGCATCAAAGGTTCAACAAATTCTGCAAAGTTGCCTCGCCCCGTTTGTATCCAACTTCTCGGAAACATTCAAGAGCTTCCCTTGTGTACTGCCAGCCTGGTCAAAGGGGAATCATGCCACACAAAAATGATCCTGTGCGTATCAAATCCAAACATCAAAATTTGATTACCTTTTGCTCACTGAACTCGAGGACGTGGCCGTCGATATTGTGCCCACCTCCCATGTGTTGCCAAAAAACACGTCACTTCATCCACACACTTTCAGCGCTTTCAGCCTGCCAGGCATATGTCTGCCAGCTGCTTCAAGGTGACGCCCTGAAGCAGATTTGAGCTTTGGATGTGCAGTTCAAGTCCCACAGAGTCCAGCCAAAAGAGTCGTCAAGTAAAGGGAAATCGTCCTGCATCTGTCTGTCTCCCTTCTTCTCAAAAATGTCGACTGCCTTTTGCGCCTTAGAACAGCGCAAAAGAGAACAGCTGACCAAGCAGCAAAACGTTGGTGGCATAAACAGAGTCACTTGTAAACTGGTACGTCCTTCCTGGTTGCACTTGAGTGCCCCGCAAGCTCTTGCGCTTCACCAGAATCTCCAAGGGCCTCAAACAGTTCAAATGGTCCGTTGCTAGGAGCTCCTGGCATCGCTTCTAGGAACAAGAAGCTACTAGGGTCTCCTGGCATCGCTACTAGGAGCAAAGGACGCTACTAGGAGCTCCTGGCCTTACTACTAGTAACAAAAAGCTACTAGTAGCAAAGGGACAAGGAGATTAATTCTGCCTGCTTGGTTTTCGCGACAAGGAGAAGTGCACAAGACTCCCCGTCACTAGCACTGCCCTGGTAGATTGCCAGTGCCTGGGGAACTCGACAAAGAAACAAATTGAAGCCTAGGTCACAGTCTAAAATGTGTTTGCAACATTTGAGCTAAGTTTGGATAGTATACATGGCTTTCGTATTTTCATACTTAGCCGTCACCCACTGGCCTCGTTTGCGGCTCGCAGGGCCTCACTGCCCTTCTTTGCGACCAGGCACGAACGAACTACTACTTCCAAGGCGGCAGCCTTGCCAGCACGATTCTGAGAAAAAACACAAATAAACCTCATTATGGGGAGAAGGTTCGCAAAAAGTCACAACAAAGTGTTCCCTACACAGCACCTTTGCTCAAAGTCATACAGTACGTCTTGCTGTTCATGTTGATATCAGGAAGCGGCCATGATGGGTGCAGTGCTCATGTTACAGTAGGGGGGACCTTGGAAGCCAAACAGTGAATCAATACCTCAGTAGATTCGATGATGCGACTCTCTTACGCAAAAATGAGGCCTGCCTCTCCCTGCTGATCTTTGCCTTCTTTGAAGAGAGACACCGCTTCTCTTGCCACCTCGCCAAAAGGATGTGACCTTTTTGAGCACTTGACCCGGGGACTATAAACGTACAAACATCAAAGTTTGGAAACAGTCTTGGTTCAAATCGCCTCTTTTGCAGTTCGGTGTTTCACACAAGGCTGCGTTCCGGCTTCGCAATTACCGTTGCTGCTCTGCAGTAGTTACAAACCTGCTCAGCATGGTCCATGCAACTTTGGGAACTTAGGTTGGAGGCCATTGCTTATAGGTTGGAGGCCATCGTTTCTAGTTACCACTACTACTACTACTACTACTACTACTAGTAGTACTAGTGCTACTAACTACTAACTACTAACTCCTTACTCCTTACTACTACCACTACTACTACTACTACTACCACTACGACTACTACTACTACTACCTACTACCTACTACCTACTACCTGCTACCTGCTACCTGCTACCTGCTACTCCCTACTGCCTACTGCCTACTGCCTACTACCTACTCCCTACTCCCTACTACTACTACTACCACTACTACTACCTCCTACCTCCTACCTCCTACCTACTACCTACTCCCTACTCCCTACTGCCTACTGCCTACTGCCTACTGCCTACTACCTACTCCCTACTACTACTACTACTACTACTACTACTACTCCTACTGCCACTGCCACTGCTACTGCTACTGCTACTAACTACTAACTACTAACTACTTCCTACTTCCTACTTCCTCCTTACTCCTTGCTGCTTACTACTTACTCCTACCTACCTACCTCCCAACCTACCTACCTACCTACTAACCTACCTACTAACCTACCTACTAACCTACCTACTAACCTACCTACTAACCTACCTACTGACCTACCTACTAACCTACCTACTAACCTACCTACT